AAAGATAAATCCCTTATTGTGGGGGTAAGCATTAGTTACAGTGTTGACCCCACCCTTAGCCCAGTGCCTTGACCCACTTACTTCCCAGCTCCACCCTCCACCAGGATAACCTTTCTCATCTGCCAAGTCCCTTCAGAAAATATCTTCCATTGTCCAAACAAGTAATTAGGATCTGTTAATAACAGGAAGACTTGAGACTATTATGCTGCTACTGTGTTACCTATAAAACAGTAGTGACTCATTATACTGAAACATTTCCTATACATGTAATGTTTTGGGGGATAAGGTGGAAGGAGTACACAGAGTCACTGTATCAGAAGAAACTGACTGACAAAGAAGAATTTAATGAAATAACATATGAGCAAGAGCCTGTGGTGATGAAAGAGGAAGTTCAAGTTGCTTTGAAGGAATTGGCAAAAAACAAGGTTCCAGGGGTTGACGGCATATCAATTGACATATTTCAACAAACAGACACTTCTCTGGATGGGCCCACTAAGTTGTGCCAAGAAATCTGGAGAACCACCACTTGGCCAACTGTCTGGAAGAGATCAATATTAGTTCCCATTCCAAAGAAAAGTGACCCAACAGAGTGCAGAAATTCTTGAACAATAACATTAATATCACATGCAAGCAAGACTCTGCTGAAAGTTATCCAAAAACGATTGGAGCAATATGTTAATATGGATTAAGAAGAGGAAGTGGTACTAGGGATATTATAGTTAGTGTTAGGTGGATCTTGGAAGAAAGCAGACAATATCAGTGGAATGTCCATCTGTGCTTCATTGACTATGCAAAGGCTTTTGACTGTGTGGATCACAACAAGCTATGGCTGACTGTGAGAAGAATGGGTGATTGTGCTTATGTGAAACCTATACGTGGACCAAGAGGCAGTTGTCAGAACAGAACAAGGAGACACTACATGGTTGAAAATAAAGAAGGGGATCCATTAGGGATATATTTTGTCTCCATACCTTTTCAATCTGTGTGCAGAACAGATCATCCAAGACGCTGGGCTGTACAAGGAAGAATGTGGCATCAGAATTGGTGGAAGAATCGTCAACAACCTGCATTATGCAGATGACACAACCCTGCTTGCTGAAACTGAGGAGGAACCGAAGCGCTTACTGCAGAACGTCAAGGATTGCAGCCTTCAATATAGATTGAAGCTTAACATCAAGAAAACAAAGATTCTCACCAGTGGGCCAATTGGCAGCATCAGTATGGCTGGTGATGAGATTGAGATAGTTAACAGTTTTCATTTACTTGGCTCCACAGTCAGCACGCTTGGTACTAGCAGCCAGGAAATCAAGAGACGAATTGCATTGGGAAAGCTGGCTGTGAGGGACTTCTCAGGAGTACTGAAGAACAGCGAATGTCAGGCTGGAGACTAAGGTGTGCCTGATCCAGGCTGTACTCTTCACACTTAATGTGCTATGCATCAGAGAGTTGGACAGTGACTAGGGATTATAGAAGGAGAATTGATGCCTTTGAGCTGTGGTGCTGGAGAAGTGTTGAATATACCATGGACTGCTAGGAGAACAAACAGGTTTGTCCTGGAGAGGGAGAAGCCAGTATGTTCCTTAGAGTCAAGGATTCTGAAGCTTCGTATGACATACTTTGAGCATCTTGCAAGGAGGGACTGGTCCTTGGAGAGGGACATCATGTTTGGCAAAGTGGAAGTATGGCTCAGGAGAGAAATATCGTCAATGAGATGCATCGATTTTGTGATTGGGGTGGTGGAAATGAGCATGTCGGAGAAGGTGAGGTTGGCACAACATGGAGCAGCATTTAGGGCTCTTGTACATAGGGTCGCTAAGAGTTGCAAACGACTCAATAGCACCTAATGACAACAACAAAGAAAGCATGTTAATTTTGTCTTCAGTTTCAATTTATCATTCATTAATAAGAGGCTTTTCTCATGGCTTGATATGTAGAGAGTTGTGCTGGTATCCCAAAGGCTGTACTTTTCTGGTGGTTCATGAACGCCAGTGACTCCTTGGGAGAAAAGTGAACACTCTCTTCCATTATAGTTTACAGCCTGTAAAACCCAATGAAAGGTTATCTATCTATGAGTTGGTTCTACTTCAGTAGAAATGAGTGAATGTATCAGTGAAAAGGAATATAATGAGAAAAAATATAAAGAAAATGTACATATAAAGCAGTGTTTAGAATGAGCATAGTGCATTTGTCTTTGTCTTTTAAAAAAAGCATTTCTAATAAGAAATAATTTATATCCTATTACTTTCTTAATTTGTTTGCTAGGAAAAGTGTTAAAATGAATTATTTGCTCTTACTGGTGATTGTTAAGTGCATCTGGAATGTGATTTTTTATTTCAGTATAAGTGGAGGAACTAGAAAGTAGAAAGGTTAGTTGAAGTCATGAAAGGCCTACACTGCTTAGACACTGAGGTCAAGTCAAGGAAATTAATTAGTACATTCATTGACAGGGAGTTTAGTTACACTTAACTAACAATCTAAGAGTTCTGATGGGCCAGATATATACTGTTTAGTGTGCTACAGATACATAAAATTATATTATTATTTTATGATTTGTGGAAAGTTTGATGTTTACATTTTACTCTGTATAATACCCATTGCATATGTCAGTATACAACATTTGAAATGTAAGTTAAAGCTTACATTGTTCTCTATTATTGAACAAAAGCAATAAGAAAACACATCAAATAATCAGAATGATTTTGCACAATGTTTTGATCTGTTATATTTAAAAGCTGTTGCATTTTAAAAATTCATATTAGTGTTGTTTTCATTTTGGTCTTTATCTGTTTTAAAATTTGACTATGTAAATGTCTATTTCACTTGAGCCTTGTCTATTTTACCATTGTAGCGCTTTTACAAGAAAACAGCAGCCTTTGTATTACGAGCAGTTGGTAAACACTCTCCTCAGCTAGCTCAGGCAGTAGTTGAATGTGGAGCACTGGATACGTTGGTGATATGCTTGGAAGATTTTGACCCTGGAGTCAAAGAGGCTGTAGCTTGGGCACTTGGATATATTGCAAGACATAATGCAGGTAACAGCTTTATTTTTGATATAATTATTACTAACATTTAG